AGATAGAGAGAGAAGGGGAGAGAGAAAATAGAGGCAGAAATAAAGAGTGAAGGAGACTGAGAAAATGGAGGGAGAAAGAGAAGAAGCGAAAGAAAGAGAGAGAGAGAAGAGAGAGAGAGAAGGAGCGAGAGAGAGGAGTGAGAGGAAGAGTGAGAGAAAGAGAGATACAGAGAAGGAGAGAGAAGGACAGAGGGACGGAAAGATAGAGAGAGGAGTGAGAGAGAGAGGAGAGAGCAGTAAGAGAGTGAGAGAAAGGGGGGCAGAAAAAAAAGGGAGAAAGAAAAAGACAGGGAAAAAGAGAGTATGAGAGAGTCAGAGAGAGAGAGAGGGGCAGAGAGAGAGAGAGAGAGAGAGAGAATGGAGACTGATCTAATTTCTGTAGAGGAATATTGGCCCGTAGTTTCCTTTGCGCTCGTGGATCGGGCAGCAGACGGCTGCTGTACCTCTGCCTTCCAGCCCAGAGTGATCATCCTTCATCTCATTACTGCCCTCACTGCCCGCAGAGCTCTGCCCATCCAGCACTGCTCATTACTAACTGGTGTAGAGACGCTGCTCCCAGATAGAACACTCAGAGCACTGCTTTATGATGTTACAACAGGATTTCTGCCATCAAAGCCTGCTGTTGTTTACAGTCAAGTTGTCATGGTTACCTTTGAATGAACATGGCTTAGAATACACGACTCCTCAAAAGATGGGAATCCCTGTTCAAACGTTAAATAGAAATATAAAACCAGTTTGGGTGCAAGTAAATGTATAAAATAACTTTGGAAAAAAGGAAAAAAGAGGAGAAGAAAACAATAATACATTGGATGATAAAACATATATAATTATATAATCATTAAGAATTATTGTAAAAAACAAACAAAAAAAGATGAGAGTGATTTTAAACTTTTAAATAGTAGTGTACATTCAGAGAGGACAGGAGAAGGACTGCTACTAGTGTTGGAGAGCAGTGTGCTATACAGCAGTGTGTAATAGTAGACGAAAGCCAGAGATGGAGACGAGAGGAAGCAGGAGATATGATGACTCCTGAGGAGAGCATATCTGATTTTTTTTATTTAGCTTCAGTCCAGTAGATAAGGCCTCTGTGTTCTTTAACACTGCTGGTTGGAATAAGCAAGGGCAGAGTAGACACATCCACACATACATGTTCATATTCATGACCTTCAGTGTGCTCCTATCATGTCTACAGACCTCTGAGGATGTGTTGTCATTTTGCAGTTCACCATTAGCATCCAGACGAGCTCTGGGCCTGAGCTGTGGGAAAACATGGATGGCTCAGTATCATACTCTGGGGTTAACAACCCTGGTGAAATGACCGGCACGGATCAGCATGAATTCTATGCTGGTCTTTGCCGGTCTGGTGTTGGTTTATCTGGTCACCCAGCATGGTCAAGCTGGTTGACCAGCGTACCTGCATCTAAAACACAACATATGCTGGTTTGGTAATGGCTAGCCTAATAACTTCCATTGCTGCTGACCAGTGTACCAGCATGCAGGACACAACAAATGCTGGTTTTGCTGGTGACCAGCCATGCTGGTTTGTCAGGAAACAAATTGTAAATCTTTCATGTTTTGTCCTCTGTTACATTTTCATTACAATTATCACTGTGTTGTTTAAATTACAAGGTTGTGAAGTAGCTCTATACTATATTCAAGCTTGCACTATGAATCGAATTAACATCGTAAGACTGGCAACCTCAACCAGCCTGTGCAAACCAGTGTGGTGGTCAAGCAGGCTACAATTTGAATAGTGGGTATTGTTATATAACACTGTGTTGAAGTCATAAGTAGTAACCTGACTTTCATATAACACCCAATGACCTACCAATTCAAAGGATCCAGTGACATCCAGGGCAAAATGTACAGTATTGTCTAAAAGTCAGAGACCACCTTTAATTTATTCAGTTTCCAGTCAAACGAGCCAAGATACAAGTTCAAGATATTACTATTTCTTAAGACATTTCTGAGGAGATTAGTTATAAGACAATCCACTTGAATCACAAAGAGGCTCATCAAAGGAAAATATGTGATGAATGGAAGTTTAACTGAAGTTAAAAAATCAAAAAAGGAAACAAAAGAAGAAGAAAATTTGCAAATCAAACAAAGAAGCTACTGGTGTTCTCAGAACAATGGATTGACCACCTCAGGGTCCAGACCTCAATATCACTGAATGTGTTTGGGATTATTTGGATCATGAGAAACAGAAAATGCAACCAACTTCTAAGACTGAACTTTAGAGGTGTGGACAAATATCCCTGCAGATTTCCTTGAAAATATCTAAGCAAGACTCCTGAAAAGAGTACGAGCTGTAATAAAGGCAAAGAGTGGACACACTAAATACTGAAAAATACATAGAATATTTAGTTGCTGAGGGTCCTGTGTAAGTTTCAGATAAATATATTTGTTCTCTTTTAAGTATAAATAAATAAAACTGTACTTATAATGGTTTTAACTGGAAATTAAATTAAGGGTGGTTTCAGTACTTTTGCACAAAACTGTATAGATGACAACAAGGAATTGGTTTTGGAACACCTCAAATTACCAAATGGTCTATAAATTCTCAAATTTATGGTTCTCAAATTATAGAACACAGTATTCATTATTTGTACATTTTGATAACAAAATGACTTGAATTCTCAGTCAGAGATTATAAGAGAACAACAAGATTTCTAAACTGTACTGTAAGTGCTATAACCCAAAAGCCAGATGTAACAAAACATCATTTTTGAGGTTTATAACAGCAGATCAAGCCGTAGAAAATTGTGCTATTAATGTCTGATTTAGGAGTTTTTCTCAGTCTCACTGTTCTATGATTACAATCTCAGTGCTCTCTGATTACATTCAGTTTTTTAAGTTAGTAGTGCGATTACACTATAAATATCACTGTTATGAGACTGAGAAATAGAAGGTGGTTTATGTCTGTAGTAGCTACTGTTCTTTATGTTACTAATGGATTTATGGACTTTTACTGAGTCAGGAACAACACATGCTTAACACATTGCCACTATAAACCCATTCATTGGTTACTTTGGTATTGGCTATATGTCGCTAATTATAAGGAAGGCCCAAAAGTACTGTAAGACAAAGAAAGAATATTGATGTTCGGCTGTTAGCAAGCATAATCTCATATCTACCTGCACCCATGCTTACACATGTCAATCAGTGAACAAAAAGGTGCTCAATGCTCACCATTATCTGATGGAGACAAGGACTAAGCTCTTTGTGCCTGAAGTTAAGCTTCCATCCCTAAACACAAAGCAAATCAATCCTATTAAAGTTCAAACCGCGATTTAAATGTTGATGCTATACAGCGTAATGTCACCGATAAGGTCAAACGGCTAGCGCGACCTTTCAGGGTTAAGCAATTGGCTTTGGCTCGCATGCTGATGCGTTCAGCTGAATGTCAATGGTCTGAGTTTATGAGGCTCCGTTTTTAGGCCTGTGAGTTTCATTTCCTTTTGACTAAATGCTACACTCGGCATGGCACAGCATTAGCATGGGCGTGAGCGCTCATTAGGGAAGCTGAAATGCACCAGCCGCATCGGCCAGGCGTTTGTGATGTAACCGAGGCTAATGGCATCTTGAAACTTTTCAAATAGTATGTTCGCTCGTCTGTGCTTGCTGACCTTTGTTATCAGGTTGCACGCACCCTCTCAGTTTCCTTAGGCGCTAATCCTCTGCAACACGACACCCACAATGCTGTGAAAACTGCATCTGACAGGCCTTACAAAATGACTTGCAGTTTATCTTCCATCTTGAATTTGTGCAGCTTCATTGCTCTATTGCTCTTATCCGTTTTCATACATTATCAGGATAAAAATGACCCATCTTTAAAGGAAAACCAGAGAAAAAAAGAGGTAACCTTTAGAGCCAAAAAATGGTTTTGATTGTGAGAAGTATTTTTTACAAAAGCCCCATATTTCATTTTTTAAGACTAAAAGAGTGAAGCTATTTCTTTTTGGTTTCTGAGGTTAAGAAGATGCTGGAGTTTTTAGACACTGTGTCCACGTACTGTCCACTTTATTAGACATGCCTACCTAATTCATCCACTTTGTAGATGTAAAGTCAGAGACGATAGCTCATTTGTTGCTGCACAGTTTGTGCTGGTCATCCTCTAGTCCTTCTTCAGTGGTCACTGGACGCTGCCCACAGGATGCTGTTGGCTGGATATTTTAGTCCAGCAGTGACACTGCGGAGTTTAAAAACTCCTCCACCACGTCAGTGTCACTGCAGTGCTGAGAATGATTCACCACCCAAATAATACCTGCTCTGTGGTGGTCCTGTGGGGGTCCTAACCACTGAAGAACAGGGTAAAACGGGGCTAACAAAGTATGCAGAGAAACAGATGGACTACAGTCTGTAATTGTAGAACTACAAAGTGTTCCTATATGATAAGTGGAAATCATAAAATGGACAATGAGTATAGATACAAGAAGGTAAACCATTTTATGATTTCCACTTAATGAAGTGGTCATATTATACATGCTATACATATATATAGTATATATACACCGATCAGGCATAACATTATGACCACCTTCTTGTTTCTACACTCATTGTCCATTTTATCAGCTCCACTTACTACATAGGTGCACTTTGTAGTTCTACAGTTACAGACTGTAGTCCATCTGTTTCTCTGCATACTTTTACCCTGTTCTTCAGTGGTTAGGACCCCAATGGACCCTCACAGAGCAGGTACTATTTGGGTGGTGGATCATTCTCAGCACTGCAGTAACACTAATGTGGTGGTGGTGTGTTAGTGTGTGTTGCGCTGGTCTGAGTGGATCAGACACAGCAGTGCTGCTGGAGTTCTTGTAGAACTACAAAGTGCACCTATATAGTAAGTGGAGCTGATAAAATGGACAATGAGCATAGAAACAAGGAGGTGGTCATAATGTTATGCCTGATCGGTGTATATATAATATGAATGCCACAAATGTATGATTCGTCCTGACGAGGTATAAAAACAAACGTCTGTGTGTGCTTGTGTTCCTCAGGTGGCCCATCTGGCTGGTCATCCTCTCATTGTGAGTGCTGCTGTAAGAGCCAGAAGAGCGAGCGAGAGGGCGAGAGTGGGACTTCCTTTAACGAACTCTCCACGTCCTGCTCCGAGACCCAGTCTGAGGCCAGTTCTCCTCAGGAGACCGTCATTGTTCGGCCCACACCGCGCCAGACTAACGTCCAGACGCTGGACCGCGTCATGAAGAAGGTTCCGGCCCCGGCTCTGCAGCAGGCCGAGATGAGGCGCCGGACGGACCTGCTGAGGGCTCGCACCTCCGGACCCCGCGACCTGCTGACCGCCAAGAGGAAAGCAGCCAAGGAGAAGATGACCCCCGAGCAGGAGCTGCAGAAGTGCATCCAGGACTTCCGACGAATCAAAATCCCGGAGCGCTTCCCGGACAGGAAGAACATGTGGCAATCTGAACTGCTGAGGAAGTATCATCTCTGAAAGCTGGGAGCCTGTGCGCGTTTGAAACACGAGCTGCTTAATCTGCACTCAAGATCTCACTCCGATCCGCACTTCGCTCAGGACGCAATCTGCCGCTCTGATCTTCCAGCCAGACGCTTAATGCACTGCAAACAATGCGGTTAACCTTGACTGACTCATAGATGGCACTGTTCTGCTCCGTTCTGTTACAAAGCACAATAACTCTGACGTTCACCCCTGAGCTGCGAATCAATTTCACACTGTCTAAACAAACCAGCCCTTTAAGGAATGCCGCCGAATGGGTTGGACACACACTGAATAAGCGCCCATCACCTGCTCTCTGCACATGCAGAACGCTGCACGAATCAGACACACCTGGTTAGAGGCTTGAGTCAGGAGTTACACTACTGCTCAAAAGTTTGGAATCACGGTTGTCAATCTTATAAAACCGGTCATGCCTTCCCATGTTCCACCCACAGTACTTTCTTCATAGGAGAAAACCCCACACTGTTAACTTAAATTTAAAGGGGTAACTGATTATACAGTTAACCCAACTCGAGGACAGTGGAATTCACCCAACTCAAACTTCTTAGATTAGTCAAAAGTTTTACGTCTTAATGTTTGTGCTCTTCTTCTCAATAAGACAAATAATATAGAATTTGTTTTTTCACTCAATTTCCCCACTAGCTTTCCATCACACAGTCCCATCAAACATTTTCTTCTCTTGGGTTCTCGCTTAAGGATGGCTATGGAATTGCTGGGGTTCGAACTCATGACCTCCGGGTTGGCGTGAAGATTTAATCTGTTGCACCTAAAGTTACTCAGATTTCATGTCCATAAATGTTTAATACATTGCAGAAAATATTTGTTGTTTTAACTTTGAAAAGTAGCATGCTCACTTTTGGTATGACTGTATAACAATTGATCCCAACATCAGGAGATCATGAGTTTGAGGCCCAGCAAAGCAACCGCTATCCATGTCTGAAGAGGAGAAAATGCCTGATGGGATTGTGTGATGGTTAAAACAAATTCCATATTATTAACCTAACTGAGATGCAGAACTACAAAAGGAATCAGGGAGAACTTTTGACTATACTAAGTGTGTGAACCTAATGAGCACCTACATTTAGAACACACTACTAATTTCCAATGAGATCAATATTGTATGCATGTGGAAGGTCACACTTTTTTTTTTTATTGTGTAATCAAAGGGATATTAGCATGGTGGTTAATATTTCTGACCTCACTAGTTTCAATTAGCTACAACAACACAATCCAGCCTGGTAGCAAAGTATTTTAAACTGGAAACTCTGCTCTATGTAATGATCTTAACCTACCTTTAACCTACCTGTGCTATTTCCCATTTGGTTGAATAGGATTTCTGCCAACCCGTGCCATTTCTGAACATTTGGGAGCTTTAAACAATAACATAATAGGAGGGGACGACTAGTCGTATTATGTTGAATGCAAGAAGGGAAAATAATTAATGTTGAATTATTTTTATCAAAAGTTTATTAACACGGTAATTAACTGTATACAGGAGAAGTATACAACTAAACATTAAACATATAATTTATCAAAATATAATTAAAATAAAGAAATAAAATACAATGTAAATGAAAAAAAGAGTTCTTCAAGGGTTCTTTAGTATAGGCCATGATTATATAGTTGTATGCAATAGTTTGGATAACGCTGGTAAAATGACATGTTTTGTTGATTTAAGTAAATACATCCTTTGGAGAGAACAGGTAAGTTGACCGGGGAGCCCAAACTTTTGCATACGACTGTATGTAGAACCATGACAATTCAAATAACCATTGGAATGCATAAATGGTTCTCTGCATGATTAAATGGTTCTTCTCTATGAGGGAAACCTGGGCTGTGACTGAGTGATCCCTACTGCTTCATTTATACTGTGCTGTATAGAGGTGAGCTATTGAGTTTACTAAACAGCAGTAAAAATGCAATCAACACAAACAGACCAACATTAGTCACTTGAGTGAGGCTGAAGTTGGATTCTGAAGTGGATAAGTGCCAAAGTTGATGAGGCTACACATTCAATTCTTTGACATGACTGCAGTATCCTGCAGTTACTGGTCAGTGTTTTTACTGTATGATGAGCAGCAGACAGCAAACGTGTACAGAGCTGCAGTTTTTCTTCTGAGTTGAGCATCTGCTAATTTTTGTTTCTGGTGGCTCAGTGGCTATTGTTAATATAACATTCTTCTGTTTGTTGCTTGGTAACAAAAGACTCGTTGTGTATGTTGGTATACATTCAGCTGATGTGGAGAACTACTGTCCTGCAATTAATTCAATAGAAATTATGAGTGCATTGTAAAAGACTGTAGTGCCCTCAGAATCACTCTGGAATTACACTTGGTAACACTTTATTTGGAGTGGTTCTTTGTAGATGGTTAAAAACTCTTCACAGATTATCAGTAAAACATCAACAAAATTTCAGTGAAGTTGTAGTAGTGAAGCATCTGAATACATTGAGATAAATATCTTCAAGATGTTCTGTTGACACATTAAGCAGATGTATTGTTAAGATGCTACATGAAGTAGACTTTATATGGTACTTCCATTTATCAAAAACCTAACCTTACCCAAACCTAACCTTCACCCTGGCCCTAATCCTAACCCTAACCTCAACCCACAACCTAATCCTAACCCTCACTCTGGCCCTAATCTTAACTCTAATTCTAACCAAAACCGAATCCAGTTAAGCTCCAGTTACAGAAAGGTGTCAGCGTGTCTATAACAGCTTGTTGAGGATGTTGAGATGGTCTGTATTAGACCTGTTACATGTTCAGTGACCTCTCAGGTTAAACATCTACAGATATGAACTTGGACACTCCAAATAAAGTGGACACAACTGAATTTAGCAGATTAGAAACCAGTTTTATTTATGCAGTTAATTAAAAGTCTCCTGAAAATCTACTGAATGTATTCACTGCTGCATCATTGATATGTTGTTGATATGTTACTGAGAGTCTGTTAAGTTTTTATTTAATCTAAGAAGGACCACTCAAAATAAAGTATCACTTCACTACACAACAGTTCTGACACTAAGAGAAAAATGGCCAATGTACTTAAGAGTATCATGATACACAAATACAGATCAATTACAGTCACAGCCTTGTTGTGTATGGTTCTTTAAAGAACCACTTTAAAATGGCTCTACGTAGCAGTTCTCAAACTGGTCCTCGAGGACTCCCAGATGGTCCTGATTCTTTCTCCATCATAACTTGTGACATTGCAACACACTGGGATATAGAAAACCTATGAGTCATCTAAAGGTCCCTGAGGACCGGTTTGAGAACCTCTGCTATATATAGCACCAAAAAGAGTTCGGCTACTGTTATAAACCATAGAACTGGGGTGCACAACTCCAGTCCTGCAGGACCAGTGTCCAGCACAGTTTGTTGTTCTACCTACTCACACACACCTGATTACTCTTATCTGTTAATTGCCAGGTTTAGTGGGTGTGTATGAGTAGGGAGACCTCCAAACATTGCTGGACACCAGCCCTCCAGGACCAGGGTTGTGCACCCCAATAGAACCTTCTTGTTTTGGAACTATATAGAACCCTTTTTGAGTGTGGTGTATGCATAATTTCTGCTTTTTTGATTGACATAAATGACATTAAAAAACAGCTATGTGCTTGTGGCGGCCTTTGTGGCTTGAGGGCCATCAGCAGCTGCTTATATAGAGTATAGCAAGAACCGCCGCTGTTGTTGCCTGTCCAACCTGGCAACAGTTGCTATGAAAGAATGCATTTGTGGGTGGAGCATGGAGAGGTCTGTATACTGCAATGTATGCAGTGATTCTGTTATGATTCTAGTTCTCTAGATTTCAAGTAATCTGTAGGAAGCTACAAAATAAAGCGTAATGTCGCTAGATGTGTCCAAAACAAAGGTGTAGATGATTCCATAATGACCTAGAAAGCTGTACAACACTGAGAATGAAGTTATAATGAAATGAATAGCTATACAGTTAGTAACATACCAAGTCATTCCAAGCTTTTGAATGGTAGTGTATGTGTGAATGTGGAAAAAATGTAAAAAAAATAAATAAATCTGGTGTTGTGTTGAATTGTATGGACTGTGTTAACACGTCTCTCTTTTTTGGTGATTTTGCAAAAGAAAAAGGTCATTTCATTCAGTATGATGATGATGATGATGGTGATGGTGATGTTCCCTGTTGTAGCAAGGCAACAATGCATGTTGTTTCACCGAGCCAAGTACCATGAGACATAGAGGAATTGCCTCATATCAATTAGATCCAGTTAATTTGTGCTGTACGCCCCACGTAACTCACTGACATTTAGCAGAACACATCAAATCTGATGGAAATAATGCACTCGAGAGGATAAAACAGCGCTGTTTATCATTGCTAGACTGTTCCTGTTTGTCGTTGTGAACACTTTTCGTCCGGACTGTTGTTTGTGGTGTATCTGAACCGGTTTTGCCTCTGGGTATATGAAGAATCTCTTATTGTGAATGTGCAACGATTCATTAAATGAGCTGAGTTTAAAGCCTAATTCACTCGTATGCCTATAATTTTGCAAGGTGTGATGGAGGAATCTTGGTAAGAGGCACAGCTTTCACATACAGGCTTATAGAGAGAACAAGCCAGTGGCCAATTTTGCTTGTTTGTGTCAAATGAGCGAATGCAGTCTCAGCAGACTGGCGAGGAGGTGCGTTTTCTATTTTTTCCCAAACAATGCAAGATTCTAATGCCGTCTCTGAATTTTACAGATTATGAGCTTTACTGGATCTAATACAAAACAGACAGAGTTAACTCTGCGCTCTCTCTGCTCGGCGGTTATCCGGCTGATTGCAGAGGTAGGATTTTGTAATGCAGCTTTCCACGGCTTCCGATGCGTTTGTTCTTCCCTGTTTGTTTTTTTTCCCAGGAAAAACGTGGCGAGAAATACATGCATCACAAGCACCATTTTTAGACCTGACTATTTTTAGTCAACACATTCTGCAGTGTCGCCATATTTCTTCTGCAACTGAGAAGCTTTGGGGCTGATTCATTGCTCCAAGAGATCTAAATACATTAGGCATGGCAGAGTGATAAAGACATATTTATAAAAGTTCAGAATCTAAAATGGCTCTGTAAGACATACAGACATACACATTATAAAACTATGGCTGCAACTTCTCTTAATCATTTGAGAAAATGGACATTTAATGGACAATTCCACTGATTTTTGTATAATTATATGGCTAAGATGTAAACAGAGCCATTCAGAGTGATTTAATGTGAAATACTCCATTCATGAGAAACATAAAGAATAGTTCACAGTGGTGGTGATAGGAA